CATATAATTAATAGTGTATTTTGTGGCTTATGGTTTTTGCTATGCAGCCGTAGTTCCCAAGCGTACTCGGAGGCTTGGAGGGCAGGGAGAATGCGTGAACCGGGAGGCGGAGCTGCGGGTAGGCCGAATTAGCGCCACGGCCACTCCAGGCTGAGGCCGACAGAGCGAAGACTCCGGCCAAAAAAAAAAAAAAAAAAAAAAAAGAAAAGGAAAGAAATTCACCAGTGGCCAGGTGGGCAGGAGTTTGAGACCAGCCTGGCCAACATGGCAAAAACCCGTCTCTACTAAAAATACACAAAATTAGCCGGGTGTGGTGGCGGGTGCCTGTAATCCCAGCTACTAGGGAGGCTGAGGCAGGAGAATCGCTTGAACCCTGGGGGTATAGGTTGCAGTGAGCTGAGATCACGCCACCTCACTCCAGCCTGGGTGAAAGAGCGAAATTCTGTCTCTAAATAAATAAATAAATAAATTCACCAATGGCTCCTCATACATCTCAGGAGGAAGTCGAAAGTTCCCAACGTGGCCTGTGGGATCCTGCAAGATCTCACCTTTGCCTGCGTGTCCAGCCCCGTCAGTTACCACTCTACCCTTATTCTCTCCTGTGCCTGAACTTTTTCTTCAACTTTATCCCCTTCTGCCTAACTTTTACTTATTTGGCAAGTTCCAGCTCAGAATTCCTTCCTCTGGAAAGCCTCTTCTGACTTTGCAAGACAAGGTTAAATGTCTATTACAGAAAGTCAGACACCATGCTCCGCCTGTTGGCCCACTGCCCCTTCTGTGATGAGAATGTGCCCTGCACTGTTCCCCAGTAGGAGCTCCAGGCAGCCGCCTGAGCCTGCCCCTATCTGCTTCCAGCTGGTGACTGGACAAGGGACAGACATTTAAGCCAGATGCAGTTAATCCATAGATTTGCCATTTATATAATTTGCCAGCTGCAAAGGTATTGCAAAATGTGGAGAAAACAAGGTAGTATAGAAAGTGAGGTAGAAGATTGTCTAGAGAGAAGCCAGGAAATTAAATAAGGACCCCAAGCCCCAAGGGTGTTGATTTTTTTTTTTTTTTGTACTCACCCAGGCTGGAGTGCAGTGGCATGATCTCAGCTTACTGCAACCTGTTCAAACAATTCTCCTGCCTCAGCCTCCCAGATAGCTGGGATTACAGGTGCACACCACCATGCCGGGCTAATTTTTGTATTTTTAGTAGAGATGGGGTTTCACCATGTTGGCCAGTCTTGTTTTGAACTCGTGCTCTCAAGTGATCTGCCCGCCTCGGCCTCCCAAAGTTCTGGGATGACAGGTCTGACCCACTGCGCCCAGCCTGCTGTTGATTTTTGAGGGCGTTTTACTGTATCAGAATGTTTAGTTATAAGCAACAGAAAATGGTCTGCCTAATTTAGGCTGCAAAGGAATTCATTAAAAATACATTGGTGGGGCACATTTCCTTTTTTTTTTTTTTTTTTTGAGACAGAGTCTTTCTCTGTCGCCCAGGCTGGAGTGCAGTGGCGCCATCTCGGCTCACTGCAAGCTCCGCCTCCCGGGTTCACGCCATTCTCCTGCCTCAGCCTCCCGAGTAGCTGGAACTACAGGCGCCCGCCGCCTCGCCCGGCTAATTTTTTGCATTTTTAGTAGAGACGGGGTTTCACCGTGTTAGCCAGGATGGTCTCGATCTCCTGACCTCGTGATCCACCTGTCTCGGCGTCCCAAAGTGCTGGGATTACAAGCGTGAGCCACTGCGCCCGGCCCGTGGGGCACATTTTCTCAGGACCTCCTGGGACAGTGTCATGGGTGAAAAAACAAAAAACGAAATGAAACGAAACAAAACAACAACAACAACAAAAACCCTGGCTACTTCAAAGACTTCCCAGTGAGGCCTGGAGAAGCAGACATGGAGCTATGCAGCCAGGAACAGTGCCCAGGACCAGGCTGCAGAACCAGTCTGGTGAGTAAAATTCTGCTCCTGCTGCAAGACCAGGTTATGGAAGTGTGTAGAACTCGAGC